TGGCTATCATGTCTCCTCTCAGCCTTCTCTTCTTCAGGCTAAACATGCCCAGCTCCTTAAGCCGCTCCTCATAGGCTTGTTCTCCAGACCCTTGACCATTTTAGTCACCCTCCACTGGACACATTCCAGCTTGTCAATATCTTTCTTCAATTGTGGTGCCCAGAATTGGACACAATATTCCAGGTGTGGTCTAACATGGAGGTCCTTTGGTGCCCAGTTGAATTTTGCTCCAGTGGCTTCTGTGACCCATTTATTTATTTATATTGATTTTTTAAAGTATTTTATATTCTGCCCTTTTCACCCCACAGGGGAATCAGGGAAGATTACAATGCACACATACATGGCAAACATTCAATGCCAATTTGACATACAACATATATAGACATACATAGAAGCAATTTAACATTCCAGCTTCCGGCTTCATGAGGGTATGCTCAGTTGCGGCCACAGGGGGAGCTGGTGCTTCACTGTCCATTTGTGACACAAAGTCCTTTGATGGAGTACTTCCTCATTCTTCTGCACGCTACTGGGAGGTTTTATGGCATCATAAATTAGTTAAATTAGCCTCCCCACATAAAGCGGCACCTACATTTCCTACTTGACAGATGCAACTGTCTTTCGGGCTGCAAAAAGTCAAGAGCAAGCTAGACTAATGGCCGGAAGCTCACTCCGACCCAGGCTGGCTTCGAACTCATGACCTTTTGGTCAGTAGTGATTTAATGCAGCTAGCTTGTTGTTCATTCATTCAGTCGTTTCTGACTCTTCGTGACTTCATGGACCAGCCCACGCCAGAGCTCCCTGTCAGTCGTCCCCACCCCCAGCTCCTTCAAGGTCAATCCAGCCACTTCAAGGATACCATTCATCCATCTTGTCCTTGGTCGGCCCCTCTTCCTTTTTCCTTCCATTTTCCCCAGCATCATTCCTTTCTCTAAGCTTTCCTTTCTTCTCATGATGTGGCCAAAGGACTTCATCTTGGCCGCTAATCTCCCTCCCTCCAATGAGCAGTTGGGCTTTATTTCTTGAAGTATGGACTGGTTGGATCTTCTGGCGGTCCAAGGCACTCTCAGAACTTTCCTCCAGCACCACAGCTCAAAAGCGTCTCTCTTCCTTCGCACAGCCTTCCCTCAGGTCCAGCTCTCACATCCGTAGGTGACTACGGGGAATACCTTTGCTTTGACGGTGCGGATCTTTGTTTCCAGTGTGATGTCTCTACTCTTCACTATTTTATCGAGACTGGACATTGCTCTCCTCCCAAGAAGTAAGCGTCTCCTGATTTCCTGGCTGCAGTCTGCATCTCCAGTCATCTTTGCGCCTAGAAATACAAAGTCTGTCACGGCCTCCACATTTTCTCCCTCTATTTCCCAGTTGTCAATCATTCTTGTTGCCATAATCTTAGTTTTTTTTTATGTTTAACTGCAACCCAGCTTTTGCCCTTTCTTCTTTCTCCTTGATTAGAAGGCTCCTCAGCTCCTCCTCCTCACTTTCGGCCATCAAAGTAGTGTCATCTGCATACCTAAGATTGTTAATGTTTCTTCCAGCAATTTTCACCCCAGCCCTGAGCATCGCATGATGTGTTCTGCATACAAGTTGAATAGGTTGGGTGAGAGTAGACAACCCTGCCATACGCTATCAGCTAGCTATGCCACAGCCCTGTACACTTGGCCATCATCCTTTGGTGCAAGAGATGTGAGAAAGTACCTGCTCCACCACATTCACAGAAAGAGAATGGGCAACACTGGGAGAAAAGCAGTGGGCACGATTTACGGTTCCATGACTAATCTTCAGAGGACTGCAGGGCTTTGGCTTCTTTTCCGAGGCTGCAGCAGGAACCATTTTTGGTGGATCAGGCCCCTCTGTCCCAGGACACAAGAGAAATAAACAGTGGATTCCAGAGTAAAAAGGAGGAGGGTGCACACGCTTGGCTTGCGGGGTGGTTGTTTTTGGCGTCTGCTGCAGAAAGCTCTCCGGAGATGCGCTGATGCTCCGAGGCGGCGCTGCTGGGGGCAACCCGCTTTGCATGCCTGGCATAACTCAGGCATTAACGCTGTACAATAAACACACATATCCGATATCCAGAGAATGCTCAAGGGATGCAATTCATCCGACCCCAACCGTCCTAAGGAACGAAAGGAAAGTCCGAGGCAATTCAGGACACGTGGGATTTATCCGTATTTGCATGGGGTGGGGGGAGGGGGTTCAGAGAAGGCACCCATCATGTTCTTTGGCTCAATTGAGATACAAACAAGGCCTGGCATTCGCTCGTTATCCCTCTGAAGGAAAGTAAATGCAAACCCCAATAATGCCAGTATTCAGGTGCCAATTTCTGCCCTCCTGGTTGCCTGCTTGCAATGTGTGTCTACATGCATTCAACTGGCATGCATGGCATGGAGGGAATGTCAGGGGTCTGAACAAAAATATAGTTTTTGTACCCCAAACCTCATGTTTCAAGGGGAACACATAAGTTTTTATGCATAACACCACATTTGCACAAAAAGCAGTTTCTGTAAACAGTGGGGACTTTCTAAGAAAACTGTGGGTTTTTTGCACCAAAAGCCAGCAATGTTCTTGGAAAAAGACAAACGTGCTTGTACAGAAATATGTCAGGATATGGAAATACAATTTGAAAACTGCAGAGTACTATTTGTAAAATAAATTGATCAGATATTTGCATCCCTGGGAAGAATACCTCCTAAATGGGGCCTTCCAGAGACTGCTGCGCTGACTCCAAACGGCTGCTGAAAAGAGCGCCTGCCTTTGGGGCGTCCTCCCACATGTTGCCACCTTCTGCTTCAAGCCTCTTTAACTAAATCAGCAGGCCCAGCCTTCTCCCCACAATCACCATGTTTACAGGTCCCTGATCCACAAGAACGTGCCTTGAAAAACATCTTCTAAGCAGGAGAAATACACGGACCATCCAGTCCAACCCCATTCTGCCAAGAAGCAGGAAAATTGCATTCAAGGCACCCCCGACAGATGGCCATTCAGCCTGTTTCAAAGCCTCTGTCGCAACTCAGGATAGATTCGCCTTGCTCAGAACAACACCACACACAAAGGCTGCAGGTTTTGTAGTTTATTAAAGAAAAAGCAAAATCATAAACATAGAAATAAGGTTGCAACAGTTCAATTGCCAAAACAGAGTCTTAAATGCAAAGGCAGAGTTCCCAAGATCCACAGGCGAATAACATGAAGTATAATCCACAAGCATGGGTCAAACAAGAATCCATGGCAGCATGACAAAGTCCCCAGAAACCAAGATCAAAACCAAAGTCCCAAAGAGCCAAAGCTTTCCCTAAAAGCCAAGGCAATTCCAGAGAAGTTAACAGGGTGTAAGCAAAGTTGCCCTGACAAAGGGTTGACTTCAATCAGACCGTTAAATATGCTTTCCTAGCATGAAAGCATTACGTTGACCTCAAACTTCCCGTTTGTTAGCAAGCCAAGCACTTTGGCGTACCCTTAATTGTAAACGGTCCTCCCTAACTAAATCCCTATCACCTTCAAGGCTGAATAACTCATTATCCTGGGACTGGCAAGCCTGGGAATCGACAGGCACTGAGCTCACAAATGGAGTGGTCGACTCCTCCACCTGCAGCTGTGAAATATCACTCAAATCATGACCATCTTCTAAAACAACATTCCTTTCCCTGGGAAACTGAAACGGCACCTTGTCTTGAGTATCAACACTGTCTGCCTCAAAAACAGGGACATGTTCAGAAATCTGTAACCCATCATCCTCCTCGTTCTAAGGAAACTCAGGCTCAGAAACCTCAGGCTCAGACTGAGCCACAACAGCCTCCAAAGAAGGCTCTGTGGCAGAGAGAGAGTTCCACTACTGGATAGCTCTCTCTCTCTCTCACCACCAGGAAGTTCTTCCTCATGTTCAGGTGGAATTTCCTTCCTTTCTTGCTCCATTGCCTCCTAGTCTCTCTCCAGGGCAGCAGAAAACAAGCTGGCTCCCTCCTCCCTTGGATTTCTCCTCACATCTTGATCCCTGGCCTTCATAGTCTCCACTCAGTGTTCTCTTTTGCAGGCTAAACATGCCCAGCTCTTTGAACCGCTCCTCATAGGGCAGTGGTTCTCAACCTGGGGTCCCCAGATGTTTTTGGCCTACAACTCCCAGAAATCCGGGCCAGTTTACCAGCTGTTAGGATTTCTGGGAGTTGAATACCTGGGGAGCCCAGGTTGAGAACCACTGTCATAAAACTTGTTCTCCAGACCCTGGATCCCTTGAGTCGCCCTCTTTCTCTGGACACATTCCAGCTTGGAGTCAACATCTCCCTTCAATTGCAGCACCCAGAATTGGACACAGTGTGATTCCAGGTGTGATCTGACCAAGGCAGAATGGAACAGAGGGGGAGCATGACTTTCCTGGATCTAAACACTAGACTCCTTTTGATTCAGGCCAAAATCAGGCTTTTTTTGCCACCGCATGGCACTGTTGGTTCATGTTTAACAGGTGGGTCTGGAGTGATATTATGGCTACCTCACTGGCATTAGGTAGCCTTCCACTCTCCTTGGCAGGTAGGTTCACCATTATTCATGCCCACGTCTCAACAGCCTCCCACTCCCAAAACTCCTTGGTCTCACCACATCGCTCCCCTGTCCATGTAAACTGCACTCCCAGCACCTTACTCAGGGTTCAGGGCATCTCAGCGCAAAGGAGAACCAAAACCAAAGCAACCTACAACATATCACACCGACAGAAACCATGGAGAAACTCAAAGCCCTTGCAGGAATCTGCTCAACAAGAACAGCTCACCTGGCTGTTTTACAAAGACATCCAGCAACTGCATTGTGACAGGACTCCAGCGTAAGAGCCACCTTCCAGCACACAAAGCCCAGTCTCACCTCCAAACAGACCATGGCCTCTCACTGCACAAACAGCAGGACACTTCACGACACTCAAAGTGGTCTGCGGGCAGCAGGAGAAGTGCAGACGGACAGAATCCAACAACACCTGAGCAAACAAAGACCCTGCAGAGAGGGATGCCGCAGCTCCTCACCTGCTTCATGGCTGTCTCGCCGATCTTGTCCGAGTGCTTGCGGATGCTCTCCAGAAAGTCCTTGAGGTCCGACATGGAGACTTCCTTGATCTCCTCGCGCAGTTTTGGAATGTTGTCCACCATGACCTTGCAGAAGCGATAGTGGCTCACCTGAGACAGGTACACATGCTCAAGGTGCTCCAGAGTCTTCAGGGCAGGGTAATGCCTGAAAGGGAAACCCAAACTATCAGTGCTGCTCAAAGATGTGACCATATCAGTCTGGAATATCAATATGCAAAGGGATATTATTGCTTAGAGACAAACTGAAAGAGCCATGTTAGAAGCATAAATTTTGCAGACAGAGACCAGAGAGCACTTCCTCAGATGCAGCTATAGTTATGATTCTTAAGTTTTTATTCTTACTACTACTCAGTATCATAACAGCCGTTGCTGTTATGTACACCCCTCCGCCCCCAGTGCTGCTCACATTTCCCTTACTGCAAAAGGCCAAGGCCTCTTTCAGAACAGTTTGATGGAAGAATGCCTCCAGATTTTGCCCCATTTCTTGGTTCCCATAAGGGCTTAAATATCTCCTTTCTGCAAAGGGTATTGGAATCTGTGCCACATGAAAGTCTAGATGGGCAATGGGTGTCATGCTCCAAATTAGATAAAACTATATGGTGGACCTATTATTTATTTATTTATTTATTTATTTACTGTACTTATACCCCACCCTTCTCACCCCCAAAGGAGGACTCGGGGTGGCTTGCAAACTATGGCAATAATTCAATGCCAGATTCAGACAATAAAAATATCGGTAAAACACAGTATTATAAAACTGTAAAAAATATATACATATCAGTTGTTGTAGGTTTTTTCAGGCTATATGCAAGGACCTCACTACCTCTGAGGATGCTTGCCATAGATGCATGCGAAACATCAGGAGAGAATGTGTCTAGAACAGCGTTTCTCAACCTGGGGGTCGGGACCCCTGGAGGGGTCGCGAGGGGGTGTAAAAGGGGTCACCAAAGGCCATCAGAAAACACAGTATTTTTTAGCTTCAGCAGAGAGCTCTTTGCCCCACCCCAGTCATTCCACAGATATATAAACCCATTTTCCTATTTCCAACAGACCTCACTACCTCTGAGTATGCTTGCCATAGATGCAGGCGAAATGTCAGGAGAAATGCCTCTAGAACATGTCCCTATAGCCCGAAAAAACCTACAAGAACCTACAGTATTTTCTGTTGATCATGGGTTATCTGTGGGAAGTTTGGCCCAATTCTATCATTGGTGGGGTTCAGAATGCTCTTTGATTGTAGGTGAACTATAAATCCCAGCAACTACAACTCTATAATGTCAAGGTCTATTTTCCCCAAACTCCACCAGGGTTCACATTTGGGCATATTGAGTATTTGTGCCAAGTTTGGTCCATATCCATCATTGTTTGAGTCCACAGTGCTCTCTGGATGCAGGTGAACGACAACTCCAAAATTCAAGATCATTGCCCACCAAACCCTTCCAGTATTTTCTGTTGGTCATGGGAGTCATGTGTGCCAAGATCGATACAATTCCATCGTTGGTGGAGTTCAGAATGCTCTTTGATTGTAGGTGAACTATAAATCCCAGCAACTACAACTCCCAAATGACAAAATCACCCCCCTCCCCAAAACCCCACCAATATTTAAATTTGGGCGTATAAAATATTTGTGCCAAATTTGGTCTAGTGAATGAAAATGCATCCTGCATATCAGACATTTACATTACAATTCATAACAGTAGCAAAATTACAGTTATGAAGTAGCAACGAAAGTAATTTTATGGTTGTGGGTCACCACAACATGAGGAACTGTATTAAGGGGTCATGGCATTATGAAAGTTATGCAAAATCTGTGTTTTTTTTTTCTTTTTCTTTTTAATCTGTGTGTTTGTTTTGCTCTGTTAGAATTGTAATACAATGGTATGGTTGCTGATGACACGATAAATAAATTATAAAAGTTGAGAAACACTGGCCTAGAAAATGGCCATATAGCCGGAAAAAACCTACAACAACCTAGTTATTCCGGCCATGAAGGCCTTCGACAATACATATACATATCGATTACAATAGTCTTCCAGACAATTAAAACATATCAAACATATCAAAAGTCTAGCGCCAACTGGGCTTTGTAAACATTGAACCAATTGCTTTGCTGTTCTTCTGTCATACTTATAGGTCATATTAATTCCTCAAAAGGCTTACTTAAAGAGCCAGGTCTTAATATTATTCCTGAAGGTTAAGAGCGAGGGGGCTGTTCTGATGTCACTGGGGAGGGAGTTCCACAGCCACGGGGCCACCACTGAGAAGGCCCTGTCTCTTGTCCCCGCCAACTGCATCTACTTCATGGACTTGTGAACATTTTCTCCTCTCTTCCCAAAATAATCAAGGTAAATGTCCTAGCTTTTCAAGGAGCAGGCCACACCCTACAGTCCCTCTGCCCTTCCCACACAGGGCCATGAAGGTGAACAGGCCAGGAGGATTGAGGGTCTGCAGACCCGTTCATGTTGATTAGCCAGGCAACTAAGCAAGCGTTGCTCCTTACGGAAGAGGATTTCCAACCTCAGGGATGAAATAAAGCAAACAGGAGAGGAGACGCCGGAAGGATCCAGCGCATGTCAAAAATATTTGGCCAGGGCACGGTGATGTCGACACCCCCTGCCACTAAAAATGTGCCTCGTCAGACAGTGGCCATGCCGCTTTGAAAACACAATGCGCGCACACAGACAAAGAGGGCTGCTCAAATGTCCTCTCTAAACAGTGTTTGCATAATCTCGGAATGGAGACAGGAGACGTTGTTTTGACTTGGAAACCAGAGGCCAACAAGAGCACAAGGCTGTTTGTCTTCCCGCCAGGTTTATGTACAGGCATTTCCAATAAAATGCATCCCGCACAAAGGGGAGACCAAAGGTTGCCTGAGTAGCCAGGCCTCAGGCCGAGGAGGGACGTAGGCACGGATCTCTTTCCTGCTAGAAGGACCTGCAAGGAACGGCTCCGTCCGGGACCAAAGGCCCCCCCACAACAGCAAACATTCCTCCCATTGCAGAGAGACCGACAACCGCGGGGTTCCTGCAGACACAGGCATACCATCCCCAGCCCCCACGGAGCACGGCCCTCCGGCCCAGTCTCCCCTCTGTGCCCTCATCAGCCCCCCCCCCCACAACCCTGGCGCCTGGTCTCTCCTGTTCGGGGAAGGGGCTGGCGCATGCACGCCATGTGGTGCCACCTCTCGCCCCAAAGGACCCCTGAAAATCAGCCCCACAAACTGCAGGACCTTCAAGATCCAACATCTACAAGACTGTGTTGTCACTGCTCATGCATGAACATCAATTCTTCTCCAAAGGAGTCTGTCAGAGAAAGCTTTGGAAAGGGAAAGGACTTGAACTGACAGCTCCATGTCCATCTCCAAACACTATCACATGCGAAAGAGGGAAGGTGCCGAGAAGCGATAAAGTGCCGTGGCATTGAATCTTCCAATATGTTTTAATGATTTTTAACTGGGAATTTTTGTAATTCCAAGGTAAAAATCATTAAAACATATTCAAAGGTATTTAATCCTGTTTTAATGTTTGCATACTTGTATATTTTAAATTGTATTGTCAAAGGCTTTCATGGCTCCTGACATGACAAAAAAAAACTGGGTTGTTGTAGGTTTTTCCGGGCTATATGGCCATGTTCTAGAGGCATTCTCTCCTGATGTTTCGCCTGCATCTATGGCAAGTATCCTCAGAGGTAGTGAGTATACTTATTTATTTTATTTATTATTTATTTACTTTATTTCTATACCACTTTTCTCAGCCCTTAGGTGACTCAAAACTGTTTACATAATACAAATTATCACAAGACAGTATCGTAGGCAAATTAAAACACATTATACATTATACATAACAATCAATATCAATAAACAATCATTATCATAGCGCCTCAACGACGAATCAGAATCCATTCTCGTAATCCTTTGTTCCATATTCCTATGTTCGATTGCACCGTGTTCCTATATTCCATTGCACTGTTTAGCCAAACGCTTGTTCGAAAAGCCAGGTCTTCACCTTCCTCCGGAACGCCAACAGCAAAGGGGCCTGTCTGATGTCTGCAGGTAGGGCATTCCACAGCCGAGGGGCCACTACCGAGAAGGCCCTGTCTCTCGTCCCTGCCAGGCACGCCTGTGATGCAGGCGGGTCCGAGAGCAGGGCCTCCCCAGACGATCTTAATGTCCTGGTCGGTTCATAGGTGGAGATGCGTTCAGAGAGGTAAGTAGGGCCAGAACCGTTTAGGGCTTTATAGGCTAACGCCAGCACTTTGAATTGTGCCCGGTAGCAAATTGGCAGCCAGTGGAGCTGGCGCAACAGAGGAGTGGTGTGCTCCCTGAGAGCCGCTCCTGTTAGTAACCTGGCTGCCGAGCGCTGGACCATTTGAAGCTTCCGAGCAGTCTTCAAGGGCAACTCCACGTAGAGAGCGTTGCAGTAGTCTAGACGGGATGTAACCAGAGCGTGGACCACCGGGGCCAAGTCAGACTTCCCAAGTATGGTAATACTTGTGACTACCTCTGAGGATGCTTGCCATAGATGCAGGCGAAACGTCAGGAGAGAATGCCTCTAGAACATGGCCATACAGCCCGAAAAAACCTACAACCCATATTTTAAATTGTATGCTAATGCTTTTATGTTAAGCCACTTTGAGTCTCATTCAAGAGAGATAAAGTGAGGTATAAATAAATATACCGTATATACTCGAGTATAAGCCTACCCGAATATAAGCCGAGGCACCAAAATTTACCAAAACAATCTGGGAAAACGTATTGGCTCGAGTATAAGCCAAGGGTGGGAAATGCAGGAGTTACTGGTAAATTTCAAAATAAAAATAGATACGATACAATTACATTAATTGAGGCATCAGTAGGTTAAATGTTTTGAATATTTACATAAAACTATAATTTAAGGTAAGACTGTGGAACTCTGATTAAACCATTATTCTAACCTTCTTCAATGTAAATGTGCTTGCAAATAAAAATACAGTAAAATAATAAATGTAATAATACTAATAATAAGAGTAAAATAATGGAAATGTAATAATAACAGTAATAATAGAGTAAATAATGGAAATGTAATAATAACAGTAATAATAGGGTAAAATAATAAATGTAATAATAAAAACAATATTTATTATGTATTTCTAACAGGGTAAAATAATAAATAACCTTGACTCTAATATAAGCCAAGGGGGACTTTTTCAGCCTAAAAAAAGGACTGAAAAACTAGGCTTATACTCCAGTATATACAGTAATAATAATAACAACAACAAAAACAACAACAGGGCTGCATCAATAAATAGGAGCCTAATATGAATAAGTGAAGAAGGGGAGCCAGGAAGGCAGTTCCACCACGTCTCCGGGGTTATCAGAGCGCCCCCCCCCCCCACAACAACAACATAGTAATATATAATTCTAATATTGTGCTCTGCTAATAATATAATATAATCTATTGTATTTACTTATAGAATCATAGAATCATAGAATCAAAGAGTTGGAAGAGACCTCCTGGGCCATCCAGTCCAACCCCATTCTGCCAAGAAGCAGGAATATTGCATTCAAATCACCCCTGACAGATGGCCATCCAGCCTCTGCTTAAAAGCTTCCAAAGAAGGAGCCTCCACCACACTCCGGGGCAGAGAGTTCCACTGCTGAACGGCTCTCACAGTCAGGAAGTTCTTCCTCATGTTCAGATGGAATCTCCTCTCTTGTAGTTTGAAGCCATTGTTCCATTGCGTCCTAGTCTCCAGGGAAGCAGAAAACAAGTTTGCTCCCTCCTCCTCCCTGTGGCTTCCTCTCACATATTTATACATAGCTATCATGTCTCCTCTCAGCCTTCTCTTCTTCAGGCTAAATATGCCCAGCTCCTTAAGCCACCACCACACTCCAGGACAGAGAGTTCCACTGCTGAACGGCTCTCACAGTCAGGAAGTTCTTCCTAATGTTCAGATGGAATCTCCTCTCTTGTAGTTTGAAGCCATTGCTCCGCGTCCTAGTCTCCAAGGAAGCAGAAAACAAGTTTGCTCCCTCCTCCCTGTGGCTTACAATATTGATAATAATAATATAATGTACTACAATATAATATGTTATAATAATTATATTTTTATATTACATGTAAGAGTACTAAGAATATTACAGTATAGTGGTATAGTACAATACAGTAATATATAATACTAATATTGTGGTATCCTAATATAATATATCGTATGTACATATAACTTGTAAGCCGCTCTGAGTCCCCTTTGGAGTGAGAGGGGCAGGATATATGCTTTTGTATGTGTATGGTCTAATATGTTTCGGCATTGAATGTTTGCCATTTATATGTTGTGCTCCGCCCTGAGTCCCCTTCGGGGTGAGAAGGGTGGAATATAAATGCTTTAAATAAATAAATAAATAAATAAATAAATAAATAAATATGTCGTAAATAAATAAATAATATCCAAATCAAGTATATTTAAGGATATCTATTGTGCATTAGTCAGTGCATTGCACTGGGACCGTGGCGCAGCTGGCTGGGAGTCATCTGCATTAAGATCACTACTGACTGAAAGGTCATGAGTTCGAAGCCAGCCCGGGTTGGAGTGAGCTTCCGACCAATTTTGTGTAGCTTGCTGTCGATGTTTGCAGCCCGAAAGACAGTTGCATCTATCAAGTAGGAAATTTAGGTACCGCGTATGCGGGGAGGCAAATTTAACTAATTTACGAGGCCATAAAAATCTCCAGCAAACATGCAAAGAATAAGGAAGTACTTCATCAGTGTCACAAATGGTCGGTGAAAGGACAGCTCCCCCGGTGACCAGAATACCCTCAAGAAAAGCTGTAATGTTAAATTGCCTCTGTGTCTATGGCACTGAATGTTTGCCATGTATATGTACATTGTAATCCGCCCTGTGGGATGAGAAGGGCAGAATATAAATACTGTAAATAAATAAAATAAATAAATTGTGTTCTGTTCCAGGGAAAGATGTGAACAAGATGAAAGGTGTCCAAAGAAAGCTACAAAATAGTCAGAGGTCTGGAAACCATGAATCTGTATGAAGAGTGGCTGGGGGAGCTGGGGGTGTTGAGAGAAGGGGGCATGGGAGCCACGTCTAAATATTGGAAAGGATGTCACCTTGAGGACAGTTTTCCGCAAGCTTGTTTTCTGCTGTGACATGTGCAGTTGTAGAATCATAAAATCATAGCATTGGAAGAGACCTCAAGAGACATCCAGTCCGACATTCTGATGGCATGCAGGAATGCACAATCCAAGCCCTCCCGACAGACAGTCAGACAGTTTTCTGTTTCAAAACTTCCAGAGAAAGAGACTCTGCCGGATTCCAATGCAGCAGTCAATTCCACCTTCAATCTCTCTTTTCTTACTGCTGCCACACAAAGCCACATGGCTGGCCTTACCTTTTGGACTTCATTTGCTCTCTTAATTTGCTGTCCATCTCCAGAACTAGGGCAGAAGAGACACAAGAAATACAAAAGTCAATTTAAAAAACCCTGGGTCCAGAGCCCCTTGCAACCCCAACCGAGATGCAGCTCCATCCCGTTTCAAGTCTCTCTCACCGGGAAGGCACTGGGTGAGCTTGTCCACAGTGGCAGAGATATTCCGCTGCTGCAGGCGGCACTGTTTCAGCTCCTCCATCGCTCCCACCAGCTGCAAAAGAAAGTCGTTTCACTACCAGCAGTACATTATCCCCTATATACACAACGTCTTCATCAGGCCACGAGCTATAAGGTGCCTGATTCTGCCCATGAGGTGAACTACAAATCCCAGCAGGATGAGGGAGAGATGACACATTCAAGAGAAACCGCTTCACCACGGAAGACACAATGGGCAAGCAAGGGGGTCATGCAAGGTCTTCAGGGGAGGGTTTCGAGGGAGAAGGCGGCCAGGGCTTACTTTCTTGCTCTCCATCTGCAGTTTCCTGTTGGTGTCCGTCACTTGGTTCTGTGAAAAGAAAAACCACATGATTCTTGCCATTTTTCCATGAGCATTGATCCTAGACCCAGGAAAAATCAAGTGCAGCCAGGATGGACAGATGCTTACAAGATGTCACAGAGAATGTGGGGACACACAAACAGGGCTCTTGGCAAGAACAACAACAGCCACATCCTACTCTTGAGCTGGTGACACTGACCTCTCCCTTCCGCTCGGCATTGGATTCAGACAAGCGGGCCAGAAATGCGCTCCAAGGCCCATAACTCACTCCAAGGATTACTCACATCGGCCTCAAATAGTGCCATTGTGTCTGATCAGGTCACACACACGTCAGTGTAAGTCAAACATTGGCAAACTTTGGCCCTCCAAGTGTTTATGGTTTTACTTTTTCTTCCATAAACTACAAAACCCAAAAGCCTTGGTGTGTGGTGTTGTTCTGAGCAAGGTGAATCCATCCTAAGTTGCGACACCAATGTCCTCCCCAAACACCATACTGCCCACCACCCAAGGAATGCTTTCAATCGGCGACAATTTCATCCTAGATTTTATATGTTTCCTCCACCACAGACACCCGTGTTTCTTACTCTCTCCATTGGTGTGGAATTTGCATGATCCCACCCACTGCCTCTCCCTTAACCCTTTTCTGCTCTTTTCAACAGTCTGATATGAGCAACTGAACATACTGGGGGATTGACTCCACATGATGGAAGTTGTAGTTCACCCTACATCAAATCAGAGCTCTGTGATCCTCTCTGACAATGGATCTGGACCACATTTGGCACACAGAACCTCTATGAACAGAAAACTTTACTCTTGTCAGCAGAGCCAAAACATAACTGGCCACAGTGGTCCACGCTCTTGTTACATCCCGATTAGATTACTGCAACGCACTCTACGTGGGGTTGCCTTTGAAGACTGCTCGGAAACTCCAACTAGTCCAGCAGGAAGCAGCCAGACTGCTCATACAGGGAGCATACCACCCCCCTGTTGTGTCAGCTCCACTGGCTGCCGATCCAATTCCGAGCACAATTCAAAGTGCTGGTTTTGACCTACAAAACCCTATACGGTTCCGGCCCAGTGTATCTGTCCGAACGGATCTCCCTCTACGTCCTACCCCGGAGTCTAAGATCTTCTGGGGAGGCCCTGCTCTCGACCCCGCCTCTATCACAAGTGAGATTGGCGGGGACGAGGAGCAGGGCCTTCTCGGTGGTGGCCCCCACCTGTGGAATTCACTCCCCGGGGAAATTAGATCTGCAACAATGCTCCTATCCTTTAGGAAAAAACTAAAAACGTGAATCTGGGACCAGGCATTCGGACAAGCGGGCAGATAAAGAAAGAACTTTTGACGATGACTAGGAATGATTAATGGATTAGACCTATGGAACTCTGGAAAACGAAACGCTGAGCACGAGAATAGTATATATGATCTTTTATATGATGTTTTATATGATGTGTTATGTACTGGTTGTTTGATTGTTTGAACTGTGATAACTGTTTTAATTATGCATTTGTATATTGTGTGTAATTTTGTACAGGCATCGAATCGTGCCTTTTCTGTAAGCCGCCCTGAGTCCTCCTTCGGGGGTTGAGAAGAGCGGGGTAAAAGTACCCGAAATAAATAAATAAACTTACAGTGTTGCATACAAAATAAACAGTGCAACAAACTTACATAGTCCTTGCAAGAAATACAGAAGGCAAAGAGCTTGGCTTTTTCATCTCCCTTCAAATGAGCAGCGCAAATGGTTGAGCAAAACGCTGTGAGCAAAAGACTCCTTGGAGCAAACGCTTCTGAGCATAGAGCTGAACTGTAATCTAAGCCACAGACAGTTAAACCCCACCAAGTGTGGCTCAAATTTACTTGCTGACCTAAATTAGCAGCTGCACATGATAATTAACACAGTATAGGGCAGGGGTAGGGAACCTTTGGCCCTCCAGCTGTGGTGGACTTCAACTCCCACAATTCCTTGAGGCTCGGCATTGGGCCAAGGTAAGCCTTTGGGGCGAATGCCGAGCCTCAAGGAATTGTGGGAGTTGAAGTCCACCACAGCTGGAGGGCCAAAGGTTCCCTACCCCTGGTATAGGGTTTTCTTTAACACACACATATACTTGGTGCTGATCCTTTTACAACTCACTGTAACAAACTTGCCCAAACTTTAAGTATTGATGTAGTTTCAGGGGATTAACCTGGCATGACGTGAGTTCACCCACAACCTTATGCATTTTGTAAAATAATAAAATGACTTCTAATAACTCAGGCAATGCCAGGTATCAAAGCTTATCTCCATCTTGTCTCCTACACTGTGCTCATAATATAATATATTGTATATACATATAATATTGATAATACTATAATGTAATACAATATAATAATAAATTATAATTATATATATTTATATTAAATGTACTAATAATATTACAGTAATATTACTAATAATATTACAGTATAATGTTCTAGTACAATGTAATAAATAATATTAATATTGTGCTATGATAATAATATAATATATTGTGTTTACTTTTTACTTGTAAGCCACTCTGAGTCCCCTTCGGGGTGAGAAGGGCGGCATATAAATGTCGCAAATAAATAAATAAATAGTAATAAATAATAATCCCTCTGAATTTTAAAAAACAAACATGATTTTTGCTGCCTCTCAACAGCCCCTGGGGAATGACAACTAGGAACACAGGAGTGATTCTGCCACATTTCTGGCCCTCTCTGTACCATCCTAGGTCCAGAGAAAGCCTTTTTTCTCTATGAGAAGTTGACCACAACTCAACTTCTAGGTCACTTCCTGTTAGAAGAAAAACTTCTGGGACTAAAACAGCATTGGGGGGGAGGGAGGGAAGGATGAGACAAGAATATGGCAAAATTAACATCAGGAGACAAAAAAAAAGAAATGGATTTTAAAACGGGGTGTTCTGGGACCATCCACAACCCAATTCAACCTCACCTTGAGCTTTTGGGCTTCTGCCCTGACCTTCAAGAACTCTGTGATGGCGTCTACGAAGCCCTGGTAATGGAAGTTGCACATCTTCTCGATCTCGCGGTCGTGGTTCCGGATGCGAGCGTCGAGCTTCTCCATGAAGCGCCCGTGTTCCTCGCCATCGTAGACAGACCTGGAAGAAGGAGGAAGTGGTTGGACGGGCTGGGACAAAACCCATTCCCAGGAACTGTGGAGCATGAGCACGGCAGCCCCTTAAAAGGAAAAGGAAGCTAAAGGGGAAAAGGGTACCATTTTGATCTGACAAATCCTCCTTTTTGACGAATAAAACTATATTTGCACAACCTGGTAGTCGTTACAATACCAGACCAATGCTGGCTTATGAACAGCCTCTAAATGTGCACAGCAGGAAGCTTGGGGAACAGAGCTAAGTAGAGCATGCCTGGGTGCACAGCCACCCCGCTTTCTCCCTTTTTAGGAAATATGCATGCAAATAACCATTTCAGACACAGAGTTAAAGATCAAAGAATTTACTTACTAAAAAAAATTCTGACTGTGCAATCCTAAGAATAGAAGCTTATCAAAGTGCTGGTTTTGACCTACAAAACCCTATACGGTTCCGGCCCAGTGTATCTATCCAAACGGATCTCCCTCTATGTCCCACTCCGGAGTCTAAGATCTTCTGGGGAGGCCCTGCTCTCGACCCCGCCTCTATCACAAGTGGGATTGGCGGGGACGAGGAGCAGGGCCTTCTCGGTGGTGGCCCCCCACCTGTGGAATTCACTCCCCGGGGAAATTAGATCAGCGACATCCCTCCTTTCCTTTAGGACAGTGTTTCTCAACCTGGGGGTCAGGACCCCTGAGGGGGTCATGAAAGGGTGTCAGAGGGGTCGCCAAAGACCATCAGACACAGTATTTTCTGATGGTCATGGGGATTCCATGTGGGAAGTTTGAGCCAATTCTATCGTTGGTGGAGTTCAGAATGTTCTTTGATTGTAATGAACTATAAATCCCAGCAACTACAACTCCCAAAAGTCAAGGTCTATTTTCCCCAAGCTCCACCAGTGTTCACATTTGCGCATATTGAGTATTTGTGCCAAGTTTGGTCCAGATCCACCATTGCGTGAGTCCACAGTGCTCTCTGGATATAGGTGAACTACAACTCCCCAACTCAAGGTCAATACCCACCAAAACCTTCCAGTGTTTTCAGTTGGTCGTGGGAGTTCTGTGTGGCAAATTAGGTTCAAATCCATTACTGGTGGAGTTCAGAATGCTCTTTGATTATAGGTGAACTATAAATCCCAGCAACTACAACTCCCAAATTACAAAATCAATCCTCCCCCAACCCCACTAGCATTTACATGTGGGTGCATTGGGTATTTGTGCCCAGTTTGGTCCAGTGAATGAAAATACATCTTGCATATCTGATATTTACATTATGATTTATACAGTAGTAAAATGACTGTTATGAAGTAGCAACAAAAACAATGTTATGGTTGGGGGTCACCACAACATAAGGGACTGTATTCAGGGGTCACTGCATTAGGAAGGTTGAGAACCACTGCTTTAGGAGGAAATTAAAGACATGGATTTGGGACCAGGCGTTTGGGCAATCTGGCAGATGAATAAAGGACTATGATGATTGATAAGAAGGGGCAAAGTGGAATGAAGTTATGGACTCTGAATGGAGAACGCTAAGCATGAGATTAGTTTTATGATTATGTTATATATCAATTGTTTAACTGTTATAACTGTTTTAATTGATGTTTTAAATGTTATTTGTATTATTGTGTAGGCATCGAATTGTGCCTTTTGTAAGCCGCCCTGAGTCCCCCTCCAGGGGTGGAGAAGGGCAGGGTAGAAGTACTCGAAATAAATAAATAAATAATAAATATCCCAGTTTCACCACGTGTAAGTTTCCGCTGGTTATGAAGTTTACTTCTGGTATTCTGCTATATTTATGGTGGAATCCTTAGCAAACACCTCAGCAAGCGAGAGTCCAAAAGTGGCAGGCTCAAACCCAGAACCTCAACCAATGGCTGATACCAAATGAGAGACTCCCCCCTGGGCACACAGAAGACTGGGCGACTTGGAAGGCGCTGAACAGACTGCGCTCTGGCACCACGAGATGCAGAGCCAACCTTCAGAAATGGGGCCACAAAGTGGAATCCTCGACATGCGAGTGTGGAGAGGAGCATAGCACTGACCACCTGCTGCAATGCAACCTGAGCCCTGCCACATGCACAACGGAGGACCTTCTTGCAGCAACACCAGAAGCACTCCAAGTGGCCAGATACTGGTCAAAGGACATTTAATCAACTACCAAACTCACAAGTTTTGTATTTGTCTGTTTGTTAGCTTTGTTCTGTTAGAAATGTAATATAATTGACTGGTTGCCCTGACACGACAAATAAATAAATATGGTGGAATCACCCCAACTGTGGGTTATTTTTGAGTCTAACAGCTCAGATTCCCCAACAAATAGTAGTAGTAGTAGTGGTAGTAGTAGTAATAATAATGATGATGATGCATTACTCGCCTCTGCCTATGGCTCAAGGCAGGGTACAAAGACCCACTGTGATTGCATGCTACCAGTAGTTGTGTCACATGGAGATTCTCAGACTATTTTTCCAACTTCTACTCACACCAGCCATTGAGGTGTGAAGTATGCCGCCCCGAGTCGCCTTCAGGCTGATATGGGCAGGATAGACATAATGTAAATAAATAAATAATAAATAAGGCCATCAGCCACACATTTGGCCATTGCACTGGCCATCTTCCAACTTTTGCATCCCAGCTGAGAAGAAGGGGCACTGCAAGTCCTTGGCCCTCATCTCAGGCACAACAACCTTGAAACTAATCAATCTGTGGAGATAACAAAGAGAGCCACATCTCCCCTGGGTCGCCTGTCTCATGGCTGAAGCAGACATTGAATGTGGCACACTGTTTTGTTCTAGTAAAGAGGCTGAAGCTATCGGCCATGAATTGATTCAAGTGAGAAGCATCAGGAAAATCTGTAGAGACCAATGAGCAGGGTGAAAGCCTGCCTGGGAAGTCTCCTTCCTTGGAAGTTTTTAAATCAAGATTTGATATCCACCTGGGAGGGATGCTTTACTTGCAGGTGTCATATGTTATGCAGTGGCTGGTGCATGGTGATGGAAGGGTTAATGTAAGTATTAGTTCTAAAGGGTTTAGTACTCTGTAAGTAAGAGTTCATGGGTGAAAGCAATTAAGGGTGGAGGTATGCAAGAGATAGGTTGCAGCTGAGTATTTGTGGCTATAAGAAACGAGCCTTGGAAGTGATCTTCAGGAGAAAAGTATTGTTGTATTTTGGTGGTGGATGCTGCTAGTTTTCCCCCCAGGTCTGTTGGATTTTCGGTATCCTGACCTGTCTCCTATAATCTTGGAACCCTGGAACCTTGAACCTTTGGACTGGCTTTTGACTACCTATAGACTCTTGATCTCTGGACTTTGTTTATTGAACTCTCAGTGTTTGACCACTGGACTGGACCCTTTGACTACGGTGTAGCTTCTGCTATCAGTTTTTGTTTATTCTGTGGCTGAGTGCTATCTTTGTTTTATATTTTTGTCTATTAAAACAGCCAGCAAGTAAGTGCTGTTTTGATTAAACTTTTTGATGATGTTCTGGAACAGCTGTTCCAGGAGCTCCAGATTTATTTGCTGTGTTTAAATGTTTGTGTGCAATCCCATGTTTGGGATTTTGCAGCAGGGGGTTTCCTGTTATAATTTGCATTTATAGGGTAAGCCACCTGCCAATTATAGTTAGGATCCCTGGTCCCGCCCCCTTTTTGCTTTTTGGAGGAAAGGGGCCATTTTTAGTCAGTCACAGCAAGGGAAGCCAAGGCAGAGGATGCATACAGACGTTCCTCCTGTGCAAAGGCTGCGTCTTTTAAGACTTCCTGGGGGAGAACAGATTAAAGGCCTCTACAGATTCCAGGGAACAGCTTCACAGCCCTGAGGACCACCGGAGGGAATAACAACTCTTCATCTTCAGCTAAGTGATTTCAAGCCTGGTGGTACGTCTGTTCGGTTCTGAGATGCAGTTCAGCCGGTAGCAGACCCAAACCAGTCAAGTTTAACCAGCAGCCTGGGAGGAGCTTTAATGGGGAATTTTTCTGTTAAACAAAGTTTCTTGAAGATAGTGCCTGTTTCCTGTAAACAAGACCGCAAGAGCCAATAGACTATTTAGAAATCGTACAATTCCTGCTTGTTCATTAATAAAGACTGTTGTATTTAAGCTTAAGTCTCCTAAAGCCTGTTTAATAGGGAAAATTCCTCTAAAGGTTCTTTCTCGGGGCCCCGGGCTTCCCGCTGGACGCAAGCCTTGCATCCTCGCAGAAGCATTTAATTTCAGCTCCAGTGGCGACAGAACAGATAAAACTGGGAGTTTGGTTCATCTCTACCTAAATAAGGCAGAGCCCTGGCAATGTGACAGCTGGTTCCTGAATGTGCTGCCCATAGGCCAGGCTCAGTGGCCTCTGCAATCTCTTCTCAATCTATAGCAGGCCTGGGCAAACTTGGGCCCTCCAGGTATTTTGGACTTCAACTCCCACAATTCCTAGCAGCCGGAATTGTGGGAGTTGAAGTCCAAAACACCTGGAGGGTCAAAGTTTTCCCATGCCTGATCTATAGGATCCCAAAATGCATTCTCTGTAATGTTCAGCACATTGTTGAGCACAAGAATCTTGTTTATTTCCCCAGGATGTTGGAACTGAAGGTCTCCAAGGAAAGGGATTTTAAGAGGATGCGGTATTGTTTCAATTATGCTGTTTTTAACTGCGTTTTTCACTGTATGTTCCAAATTTTCCAATAAAGTTAATAGTTTAATTGCTCATTAATGTTGACCTTTTGTGGGTGTTTTTAACTATATTGCTTGCCATCATTTTAATTTGTCAGTTGCCTTGAAACCCAGTTGATGAAGACAAGATGAGGCATAAACAAAGACGATGACAATGACGGCATGTAACCCAGAAAGTGCGGGGTCAAACCCCGATTTTCTGGATTTCTCCGTTCCCAAGGCAGAACACAAACAGCCAAAGTTAAAAAAACAAAAAACAAAAAACGGTTCAGCACACATTCTGAAACAAGGCCCTTATCCCTCAGAAAAGTATTTAGGATGTTGCTGATGTGGCACAGAAAGAAAAAGAGGGGGGA